CCCCCCCCAAAAACCATGGTGTGTGCTTCTCTCAATCGTAGGGCTGATGCCTCTCCTTTTGTGACTAGGCTTCCAGCTCCGTGCTTGACGTGTAACCCGAATGGTACGCGCGGTCCTCACCCATGGTGGTTTGTGGCCGGAGAGCACACGGCTGGTAGCGAGCCGTCCCCGATATGCAGTAGTCCTGAGGAGGGGAGGAAAATGCAGCCATGTTTTTCCTATGGTTCGCGCGATCAGTCCGACGCATCTAGGTGTAGACTCATGGATGCCAGGCTGAGACGGAGGAGGGCGCTTGGTCTTCAAGCATTGACTGTGGACGTGGAAAGGGCGGAGCGAGTAACTTAGGCGTTCATGAATGCCAAAGAGAATGGCACTGGGCAGTGGGAGACGGTCCAGATCGATAGTAGGGAGCTCAACGAAGCCCTGTCTACGAGGTGGAATTTGGCCCAAGCCCCGGGAAAGACCGGGAAAGGCTCGGGGGATCTCATCCCTCATCTGTACTGCGCGGGTCTATCAGAAAAATGTTTATCCTTAAGAAGAGCAAGAATTCCTACCGTAACAAGAGGACTTGCCATCTCTATCCGGAGATCTTGCTGTCGACGTAGTACGCAACTCAACTTGGCCGTTCGCGAAAGCTTCAGCGACATCGTGCCTCAGGGTCCAGGTATTTCGGAGCTGTTCCGGAACAGAGGACCCGTAGAGATGTTGCCTCGGGATATCGAGGTGTTCCTGTGTCAAGAAGACAGAAAGATGGTCGAGTGAAGGGTGACTCTCTAGTGCCGACAGTAAGTCGCCAGGGACGATTTGCGCAGGGAGGGCGCACCCCGAGCCCAAGACATTCCCCCATAGTCTTCTATGCCCTGTCACACAACAGATGCCCCATTCTCTTATTGACAAGGCCGCTGCGAGTGGCTCTCTGACGGCCGAGGCTCGGGCAATTGAGCGAAGTGGAGAATATTGGTCATGTTAGCTAGGTGAGCATCCACGTCCTGGGCGCGGAGGCCGATGCTGCATATTGTATATTTCTAGTCTCGGGCGCAGCTTAACCAACCTATATCGAATCATCACCTCCCTCCCCTAGAGCAGAAGTTTCGCCAGCTCGCGCTGAACATCCTGGTGGTCTTTCCCTGCTTCGTATGCGCGCCGCAAGACGTACACGGCAGTAGCTTCCGGGTCGACGGAGAATCGAACGAAGCTGGTCAAGAGGCTGTGCTCGGGCGGAGAGACGCGAAGAGTGTGTATGAGTTCCAGCGAGTTTTTGTTATCTGGATCGTGAAGGACGTTGCGGAAAGCATCCTCGATGTCGAAAACGGACATGTCACCGTTGGGTCTGAGAATATACCAGTCAATTGAGTCCCACGGTTCAAGGTAGTTCTGAGCGGGTGGATTATTAGAATGGATAGCTAGGCAGGATAGAATCGATGAATAGCGAGCAGAAAATAGATTAAACAGGTCAGTATTAGTATTCTTACTATTACTATTACTCCTATGGTGAGTTTTAAAGAGGAACGTCAATTGACTGTTTAATACCTATAACCAGTCGAGTTGCTGATTTACCTGAGGCCGGGTTCGAGATCACGTGGGGACACTAAAATTTTAGCGCCTTCAGCTCCCAAGGCAAGTTTATTTGAGCCTCGACAACTTGAGTCAAAGTCGGAATAACATTGTTCTCCCTCAATTGAGTGGGACCATTGAACTTCACTCAAGCTGCAACCGGTTGTTCCTCATACGAAACCATACATTCCCCTGTCTGGGAGCCCGCCCATCTTGCTGCCGGTATCCTACTCTGCCATCCTGCTCGAACCCAGGACTCGGGAGCAACAGTAAACATCGCGAGTAGTTAGCACAGTGATAACACAGCGCGTCTGCCCAACAACCGACAAATTGCCCCTCAACCACCCCTCCAGAGCCTGCGAAAACGATGGCTTACAACGATGATGCCGTACTGGCCAAGCTGTCTGCTTTGAACGAGACGCAGGAGAGCATTGTAAGTTATCCTGTGCCCAGTTGCATTTCAATTACTGACGGCTGAGCAGGTCACTGTCGCCCAATGGGTTATGTTTCATCGGTATGCAAACACCTCGACCTCACCCTCACCGCCTCAACAATACTGACCCGAGTGTACAGGAGACATGCAGATCGGACGGGACAGCTGTGGCTCCAACGCCTGAAGGACTCCGGAAGCAATAAGAGACTGAACCTCATCTATCTCGCGAACGGTACGAACTATCTGTGAACAGAATAGAGATTCTGCTACTGGAATACAAGGAAAGAGATACAAAGGTGTGCATGCTGACGATGTGCGGTGTTGTAGAAGTCGCCCAGCAATCAAAGGCCCGTCGCAAGGACGATTTCCTGATTGCATTCTCCCCCGTTATCGCCGAAGCTACGGCCTGCGCATACAAAGGAGCTACGAACGAGGTGCAGCAGAAGCTGCGGAGGGTCGTGGAAGTTTGGAGACAAAGACAGATTTTTGAGATGCCGATACAAGAAGCTATTGAGTCGAGAATTGATGGTATTAAATCCCACCTCCCTTAGTCATGGCATCTCTAACATGTCTAGAATTGGATAAGTCCAGAACGAATAATAAGCGGGCAACGGGGTCTATCTTCTCAGGCGGTGCATCATCCGTTCCAAACGAACTCGCTCCTCTCGTCGGCCCTCAGCAAACGGTATCCAAACTCGTTCTCTCAACCAAAACCTCCGTCAATGCCGCAAGCGCGGAGTATCTTAAGCAGGCCGACCCCAACAAAACCACGCTATCCGCTCCAGTTCACGCTGCACGTCTCAACGGGGTACTCAAAGCGCTCGCCAACGCCGAAGGCGCAGTCGCGGAAGGCATCAAGGCCCGCAAAATTCTGATCGAGGGGCTTGAGAAGATTCTGGACACCAACCGCAGCTTGCTTGCCTCAGAAGAATTGCAACTCAGTGAACTTTCAGGCCGCCGGACCGAGATTGATAACAAGAAGCGCGAGGTAGAGGAGAGTATCATGCGTGGCTTCTCGAACAGCAATCCAGCTACACCACTCGGTGACGGACCCCAAGGAACACACACTCACCACTCGCCGACTCCTGGTCCCGAGCCTGACCGTCCTGAAGTCGAAGCCCTCACGCCACCTGGGTACCCCCCTGCGCCCGTCGAAGAGGAATTCGTCCCGGAGTTCAATCTCAACGGCAACTCGAACGGCAGCAACGGTAACGGCAACGGTCAAGCAGTGCAACACACCCAGATGCAGTACCAAGAGTATAAGCAAGACCCGTACCACTCCCCGACCGGAGCACCCGGCCTGGATCTGTTGAGTAGCCTTAGCACGACGTACGCGAGGCCGGCGAGCAGCGGGAGCGCAAAAAAGAGAAAGTTGAATGATGAGTTTGAGGGAATGGGTGATGCGATGGAGGGATTGGATGCTGATGTTGTGGGGATTCTCAACAAGGGGCTGTAGATTTGGCACGGAGAGCTATGGCTGGATTGGCGTACGGGTTGCAGGGTACGGGTTGAACGATGGGTGGGGGGTACATAGTTGAGGAAAACGAGAGGAACCGAGGCGTTCTCGCGTGGGGGACTCTCGGCATGGGCACCGTCCGGTAGATGTTGCTGGACAGATGTGTGGTTGCGCTGACGTTTTCTCGTTTGTATGTCAATTGGTATTCCTTGCAGTCCCGATTCCACAACCTTACGTTGGGAATAGTAAATGTGACGGGAACCAATTAAAAGAAAAGGGAAACGGACATAGGTCCTTCCAAGCAATGAAATTGATTGGCCATTCCTCTTATCTGTACAGCTCCGTTCTTCCCTACTGGATGGATCGATAGATGGATGAATGGACACATAGCTCGCCAGATCTAGGGCCTAGGGCTTGAAGGTAGACATAGATATAAATATAGACATAAATATAAATATAACCGGATAGGTAAGGTAAGGTAAATAAATAAATAAGCTGCACGCAGTCTTTTCAACCTCATGTTTTGTTTTGTTTTGTTTTGTTTTGTTTTGTTTTGTTTTGTTTTGTTAATTACCGCCCACGATTACCGCCCACGATTACCGCCCACGACCAGCGACCAGTGACTAGTGACTAGTGACTAGTGACTAGTGACTAGTGACTAGTGACTAGCGACCAGCGACTAGTGACCAGCGACTAGTGATGAATAAGAATGAGAATGAGAATGAGAATGAGAATGAGAATGAGAATGAGAATGAGAATGAGAATGAGAATGATTATCAAGCCCAGTTGGTAAGTTGGTATTTTGGGGACTTTTCATTCTTCATTCTTCATTTAGGTCTTTTCAGTTATACTGATCCTGAGGGGGAGAGGGGGGAGAGGGGGGAGAGGGGGGAGAGGGGGGAGAGGGGGGAGAGGGGGAGAGGGGGAGAGGGGTGAGGAGGGGGAGAGGGTGAGAGGGTGAGAGGGTGAGAATGTAAGGCTGGATGTGGGGGATGTGGGGGATGTGTGGGATGTGTGGGATGTGTGGGATGGATGTGTGTGTGAGAGAGAGACAACTAGGGAGCCTCGAGCTGCGAGAGGGCGAGAGGGGGAGAGGGTGAGAGGGGGAGAGGGTGAGAGGGCGAGAATATAAGGCTGGATGTGGGGATGTGTGGGATGTGTGTGAGAGAGAGAGACAGCCATGGAGCTTACGTAGGTAGGAATGGGGAGAGAAGAGAAAAGTCGATGTGATGCGATGCGATGCAATGGATAGTAACTTCTATCCTCTTAGTGTGAATTGTACAGATTGTTACTACTGCTGCTTCTCAGGAAAACGTATGCGTGCCATCTATCCGGGGTAGTCAAAAGTCGAGCGTGTGGTGTCTATCTATCTATCCCTTGCCGAACCAGGTCTTGTGTCCGAGGACCATCCGGCACATCATGTACATGGAGCCTGTGGGTTGCGTTAGCTTTGCTTCGTCTTCTTGGGATGGCATGATGCATATGCTGATCTGCTCGAGCTGGAATACAGGGAAAGCTCGTCGTCGGGGCGGGGGGAAGGGAGTGTATGGTAAGGGGAAAGAAGGTCAACGAACCTGCAAGTCCACCAAACAGAGCTACGTAGTACGGGTAGAGGATAAACTTGCTCCTGGGGGTCTGCTCGCACAGATTACTCGTTAGCCCATCGTTTCTTGGGATTCAGGAATCGAAGAAACAGAGGGTGAAAACGCACCTGGTTCCATTGACGGACGCCGTTGCGCTGCCCTTCTTGGAAGAGGCGCTGGTAGTGTGGGACGCGGTTCTCGCGGTTGATGAAGCTGTGAAGAGAGGGTTTGGTTAGCTGGTGTCCGATGAAGGGTGTTTGGTTGTGAAGTCAGGACATTTCCAGTCCATAGAGAGCGTCGTAGCCGAGAGAAGAAGTGTCGAAGAAATCAACTTCGCTGTTTAGTGACACGATAAGCTGGATGGGCAAGTGGTTCCTCTCAGTGTTCGCTAATGCTCGACGTGCCGAAATGATATCACTCCCATCTCCCAGCCTCTGCGCGAGCAGCAGCTACCTCAAGCAGCAGGTATACACCCTAGCGTTGATGATAGGTATATCTTCCCCCCTCCTCTCCTTCTCTTTCCCGCGGCATCGCAGATCCATTGGCTCCTTGGCCATCGTAGTACAAAAGGTGAGGCCATTCCGATGTACCATACCGCGGGCTGTTCCGGGAGCTGCGTTGAGCGTGATGTCGATCCTGGCTTCATCGCATATGGCGGAGAGAGGGATGGAAATAGAATGAACGTACCCTGCCATTGTGATGGTGTTGCAGATATCGTGTGAAGATTGTTGTTGGGGGAATTGTCTGTTCTGCACTGATCCTTCAATCGCAATGATGGGTCGACGTCTAGAGAAATGACGCTGCTGACTAATCATCGACGTCAGAAAAGAGCCTCAATCTCCTGGACAGAAGCAAGAATATAAAATATTCAATGAATTTGACACAGCTCAGCATGCGATGGCGGTCGTCGAAGACGGTTTCAGATACGCCAATTGGCCTGTAGGATACCAGAATAATGCGTCCGGCTCTCCAAAAGCTGGTGCAGAGGCCGAATGTGAGGGAGCTGCTGCGGTTCTTGGTGGAAGGAAACTATGCTCAGAGCTATGCGCCGGCGAATATTGGGAATGGAGATTGCAGAAGGAGATTTTGTGGATGGATAGGATGCGTGCGAGAACCCAGGAGGAGAAATTATGCTAGTGTGGCTTCAGCTGCGAGTAAGCAGGATGAGTGTTCGCAGGAAGGACGAGAGGATGGAAAAGGTCCCAAATACCACGAATGGGCACAAGCGAAGGACTGTTCAATAGAAGGGACTGGGGATACAGCACCTACGGGGGATATGGCCATGAGACTGCTTAGAAGAGCACAAGTACCGTCAGAATCGCGGGCAGGGACAGGGAGAGCGACATTTTCGACTCCGGATACCCACCCTCTCCCACCAGAACCCGGGGGTCTTCAGTTGGTCGAAAGAGTTATGCCGCCAGGGAACGAACCCGACTTGGCTGACACTCAGGAGCTGGAGGAGGAGAAAGGGAGACATGAAGTCTTATCATCTAAGCGGCTTCCGAGGCCCGCACCGGTACCTCTCTCACCAGCTATCCTACCCCCGGTGGCGAAAACGATACTGGGAAATGTATCAGCTGTGTCAAGCAATCGATGGGAGGAAACGAAGTGGACTCACGAGCAGCTCGATTTTGAGTCGAGTCTTGACCAGTGGCCTCTACCAGAGGGTAGCAAGGGGCGACTACTGGATTCTGCCACCTTCTCCCACGACTTTGATCTCTGGGCTCTATTTCTCGGCTACAGAAAGAGGATCTATGGCACTGAGGGTGTACGCCTATTCTGGAATCAGATCCGAGAAAGAGGCATTCTGATACCTACGGCTGGACCTCTGGCCGACCAAGTCTGGTCTACATTCGTGGATCTAGGCATAGAAGACCCTTCTGTGTTGCCTCAAATAATCGACTACGCCGACTTGGTGTTGCAACATGATGGAAGGCGTTGGTCGAAACTTTACTCTCGAATCATCCAGCAACTTCTAACATCTGACCATGCAAAGCTTGCTCACAAGTGGCATAAACGACTGATACAAAATCATCCACCTGGGCCTAGAGGATTCGCCGAAATGTGTCGTCATATCGTGTTTAAATCGGGTGATCTCGTCGCCTTGCGAATCATACATCGGCAGTGCCCCTATCGAAATACATATGGGAAAATTATCCCAGCCCTGTGTGAGAAAGAGGATTTCACCACCGCCACAAAGTGGCATGACTATCTGGTAGATCTGGGCGATTTACCAAGTTCAGCCAAGATGGCGTACCCTTTAATTCAACACTACGATAAGTATAAACCTCTGCGAGCCAGACGGCTGGTCAGCAGTCTTGTTAATGCTGGAGTTCCATCGGCCGATACTTTGGCCAAAGGTTACGAAGGGTACCAAGGTATCTCTCGCGAGATGATGAACTTAATCCACGGAGAGACACACAATATTCCCGTGAAGCAATATAATGATAAGCTTGGAGCTAGATGGTTTGCCACCGAATGGATTTCGCTGGACGTCGCTATCAACGGAGTAACTGCTCTAGGAGTCCAGTCGATTGGCCCTCTCTCGCTGCAAGCAATGGTACTACGAGAGCCAGATCTCAAACTAATATATTCGAGAATCGCCCAATTGCGAGCTGGCGGCGTCTCTATCGGTAACTCGCTCTACTCCCAGGCCGTGGAGAGCTTCGCCAAAGATGGGAAGTATGATCTACTCGCTAGCCTTCTAAACAGCGACCAACATCCCGACGAGCTTGAGAATTTTGAGCTCCAAGAATCCTTGCTCTCGGCATATGTTAAAGCTGGAGACTGGGCTCAGTATCGCAGGACGATGGCGATCAGGCTCCTGTCGAGCACGTCGCCTGAGAGCGAGAAGCAAAATATTGAGTTGAGGGTTATCGCTTCTACTGGGAATGTCCCATCTGTTCTCAATGGTGTCGAGGATATGATCATCAACGGGATAGAATTCGAGCCCCGGACCATAACCTGTCTTATCCGATCTATCCTCTTCTCTCGACAAAAGGGACGGCATCCGATGTCTAGAAGACGAGATCCTCACTCGTCTAACCGACCAACCGACCTTGACAGTTGTATTCTAATGCTGAAAAGCATCGTCCGATGCGGAGCTTACATCGAGCCGCAAGATTGGCACGAGATAATCCGCCGCCTCGGAATGCTCGGACGCCTCCACGAACTGAAAGAACTCCTTCTTTGGCTGGCGAACGTGTATAGAGGCAATTGCTCCACCAGCTGGGCCAAAAAGTACCACGTGCCACGCGAAGTCCAGACAAGCGTTCCTCAACATCCACTCCGTACTCTCTTCGCTCCCGACCTCCAGCGCGCCATTGTAGAATGGGGCTTCATCACCAATTCCCGCCATCAGAACCTCCAGCTCTCAGCTCAAAGACAACTCCACACCAGAACCAACGAACCCCGCCAACTCACCTGGGGGATTCTCCTCCTGCGTGATCTTAACAGACTCGGTGTTTTCATCGACGGCCGCGCTGTCAGGAAATCAATCTTTGATCGCCTCATTACATACTACGGACCCGGCCACTCCAACAAGTTGTACAACTCGACTTTCGCAGTCCGGCTTCCTGAGTTGGAAGTCGTGGCGAGAGAGATAGACGAGGCCCTCGGTGGGGATTATTTCGCCTCCGTGAAGCTTGGCGAGATTGTAGAGAGGAAGGCTATGGTGAGATTGCAGAAGTTGGCTAGGCGGAGGGCGAAGGGTTCAGGGAAGATTAGTCGGGATGTGAGGATTGAACGGCTGAGGAAGGACTCGAGACTTTTGGATGATGATATGTGTTGGGAGACACGAGGGATGGAGGGCAGTGCTTAGGAAATTCGATACCCCTGTTCTTTTGCTTGCTGGCTTGATTATTTTCTTGTATCATCTTATGTTTAGCTGGTTTGATTGGTAGGTCACCCGCTCACTCTCTCACGGCCTACGGATATGGGATACAACTTACGATCCACATACCTCGTATGCCCGTGAAAATTTTGAAATTTCATCCCCTTGGCATCTGGCCTGTTGATCATTTATTCATTCGATTCAGTCTCAAACCTGGGGGTTGCGAAGTAAAGGAAAGAGGATTAAAGGATACGAGATTGAATTGCATCTCAAGCAAAGTAAAGAGCTTCAAATATGCTGTGCGCAGTTTTGCAAATTCCTCCTTGCAGCAAAGGCTATGTGGGAGGTGGGTGGCCTTTTGTCCCTGATGTTGTGTTTAACTTGAAAGTTTAAAATGATAATAATTGTGCTTATGTTTGTATTTGATTAATCACACATTCAGAATACTTTCGCCAATTCTTCTGTAATCAACTTCTCAATTGATCCAAAAGAATTTCGGCCGTGGTATTTTGTATCCTGCCTATAAAAATGATTTGAGAGCCCTCAATCTTTAGGAAGCTACACCCGTGGCTGCTACTCCGTCCTTCACTTTGCTAATATCGAGTAGAAACGAGAATGGAGTTGATACTAAGAGAATATCTAATGTCGCGCTTGCTGACGACTTTTGAAATAGCTCTACCCCCCTCCTTCCTCCCCTCCTTCTGGCCCAGTCACTTACACATGGGCCCACCCACCATCTCACTACCCCATTGAAAATGATCGAGGGGCGACTAAAAAAAACCCTGAACGAGTTCATTTTCTCCTCTCCTAGATAGTGTATATATAAAAAAAAGGGACAAAAATAAAGAAACCCAAAACTGCAAAACTTCACCAGAAGCCCGTATACCGATACGAGGTCCTGGCTATCAAACCTAATTGAATAGGTTATTTCTCTCCCGGATTCCGGGGGCCCAATCGATCCCGTCCAGTTTGATCGAAAGACGACTTGCCTACCAAGCCATCTCGCCTGCTGGATGCCCAAAATATAGGAATTGGAAGTTAAGTACATGATACGGAAATACTTCGGCAGATCTTGACACCGGCGATTAGTAGTGGATTTATCTTCTTCTCCCAACCAGTCTTTTCGCAAATAGTCTTTTCGTAACTAGGAAATCTTCTGCCCCTAACCTTATGAAACTCTCAGCTCGAGGTGTCTCGCTGTGGCAGTCAGGTGCGCTGGTGCTGTATCGCAAGTCGGCACCACCAAGGCGGGACACTTTTATCCAAACACTTATTAAACAACAACTACAGATAAAAACATAATAAAGAGAGTATATAGATGATCAGAAAACATTTGCTATACAAATGTGTGTCATAGATATAAAGACGTATCTATTTATTGCAAGTCAAAAAATTATAATGTAAGGAGAACATAGCCAAAAACCGTTTTAGATAATCAAATTTCACTTCTCCGTCTGGAAGATCTCAACATCAACAACCCAAATTAAAGAAAAACATCTTATGAGCCGATGAGAAATAATATATTCTATTATATTACTACAAGAGATAAATACTAAATGAGATTTGGTAGTACAATGAATGTATTTCTACAACAAGACTGATTTTCGAGTTCTTCGATTTTCCTAGTATTTACAGGGCAGATCTGACATACTTATTCGCATCGTAAAACAGTTCCAAATCAGTCAATCTTTTGCATCGTAACCGGTTCGCTTTGGCTGCCAGCCACGTTTCAATCGACCCCGATATGCGCCGTTTCTTACGCATAATAGCGAATGTTTCAGAACGGATGGTGAGCAAGGGTGCTGCTAGATGTATTGATTACTCGTACTCGCGCGATTTTGAAGAGGTTGAGAATTTGGATACGCTAAGCTTAATTAATGCACCGACTTATACCATTAAAAAAAAGTGCACATCAAAAGTACCATCTTTACTGCTTTAACCCAACACAATTAAAGAATAATAACTTGTGATTAAAAATTGATTAAATGATTGTTATCAAACTCAATACGGTGCATCTTTCTATACAGAAATAATTACGAGGTAATAGTTGGTTGATTTTTTATTCATTGCAAAGGAGCAAATTTTACTGTCCCGCCTTGATAGTGCGGACTTGCTACAGCGAGTCGGTCAATTCTTTCGAATTAAATTCAAGGTAACCGTCGATTAACCGACGAATATATCTGAACGAGATTTTGAACATAAAAAAATAGCCTTGGTCACGATAAAGCCGGGCCCCATCCTCAAACTTTTTTTTTTATTTTCAGTATCATTATTGAAGCCGTAAGCTTCCGCTTATCGCAACGCGCAGCTGTGTTAAAAAAAAAAACCGCAGTCTTGCTAGGAATTTATGAGGCTCATTCCAAGGATGCGCTTAAGAGTGGGTCTCACGCGGCTGATTTCCCGCTTATCACGTCGATCAAAAGCTTAAACAAACAACGGTCACTTGGGGAGGAGGAGCGGAAAGGAACAATCCCATGAATTCCTAGTTTAAAGCCTGCCAATTGTGAGCATTGGGAGTCGAACCCCAAGTCCATTCCAAATTCCCGAAGTCTAGGGGGATCGAACCCCAAGCTCCTTTCCGTCTTTCAAACTCACACCTCTCCAGCCGTGGCCCCCCTCGTGCGCCGCAAAGTGCGCAGAGCAAATTATCTTGGCCTGTTTTTTCGCGGCCTCGCCAATCTTTCCTCGATTCCCTGAGCGACTCTGTTCTCCATATATTCCTTTATAGCATCCGAATTTGTGTCGAGGATCTTGGTCACAACGATATTATGATCGTTATGCTCGCTGTAGTTAAGATAGACCGCCAAAAATGGCGTCAGCAATAGAGGGAGATACATCAAGTATCTCTGCCATCCAGTGCTTGGTTTGTTCTCGTACTATATAATGAGGTTAGTTTGAATCCAGAAGAGGGACAATTTACATACAACACTAGCATAAAACGCGACCGCACCGAGCATATAGCTCAGAAAGACCATGGTGCCTGTCTGCCATTTATACCCGTAAAAAAGTCAATTTAAGATAATTAAGTTCTTTCGATGCTGGTCCGCATGCGCTGTTCGTAACTCGGTCGTGACTTCTTGTGGCCCGCCGGCCGTTCGCGACGCCTCGGTCATTTTTCTCATAATCTATATGATCCAAGTATTAGCTCATCCCATTCATTTTTCTCCGGTCTTAGTGAACGGCCCGACCGCATGATTTGTAATGGAACTCTAATGTCGAGAATCCGCTGCGCTTTCCGCCTGACAGGCTTCTGTTGGCTCCAAGAACGTCCTTTCTTCGAACCAAGAAGGATAATGAAACTCAATCTTACTTTCTTATGCCTGATGGTGTTGAAAAGTGCCACATGTGGCTCCCAATTAACTGGATTTAATCCGTATCGATACGCGCGAAGCGTAATCTCCATGTCCGACATTTCTAGCAGATCATCTAAACTCCCGCCTTCCCCGCACACTCGGATCAGTTCTGTGACTATATTCCCTGGAAATTCCTCCGTCGCCTAGAATCTTTAATCAAGGTTATTGAATGCTGTAGACGAGTACGTACTTGTTGAATCCATGCGATTCGGGGGGTCACTGGGACCACTTCGGGTTCTGGCTGCTCCGCAGCCTGAGCTTGCATACAGGAAGCAATTGATGCCATTTTGTTACTGGAAAAAGAAGATTGGGCTCGGGTTCAGTTGATTGTAATGGGTTTGATGAAGCTGGATTCGATTAGCAACAGACAAGAGTTGATGACAAGAGCATTTCGGACCCCAGCCTAATGGAACCCACATACTAGCCAGAGCCTAGACTAGGTCCTAACGCTTGACTCGAGGCTGAGGAAATCTATGAGTGCTGGCAATCATCTTCAGGCTTTGCTGTTATTCCGTTCTCGTCTTGAGCTGGTGCAAGTTTTTTCTTAGGGAGACCTTCCACTCCCTACCTATGTCTGCGAAAGTTGGACCGCTGACTGGCCCCCGTTCTCCCTTATCTCAGAACGATACAACCGCCGAATAATATCCCTGGATCGTCCATAATCTGCATCCCCCTAAGTTGCTGGGATTACAAGAAGTTAAGAAGAGTCCTCTCTACGCAGCACTTGAAGCATTCCTTTGGAAAGGGTTCTCATTCGCGACTACAGTGGGACCCAACGGTACTTTCGAACTATTCCACCGACGAACTATGCGAAGGCAGGCAAAACAATGATTATTAAGGGGACGCAACGACACACTTCGCTTGGCCTTGTACGAGAGCTGGTGGCTACAACACCAATTGACCCTGGCTATGCACGAAAAGGGCGTAACGAGGAACAATTGGACACCAGAGATAACCATGATTGCTACGAGGACGCAAAGGATTGGAATTGACCCTGTACCCGACAGCTGATGGCTACGGCTCGATTTGACACTGGGCTATACACGACAAAAGCTCGACAAGGATTAGATTGACACCAGAGATAACCATCGTCGCTACAACAAGCTTGGATGACGCAAAAGATTAGACTTGGTCCTGTATCTGACAGCCGACAGCGACGGCCTTATTTGACACTGGGTTGTGCATAACAAAGGATCGACGAGGAACACATTGATATCAGAGATAGGTATCGTTGCTACAGAAAGCTTGGAGGATGCGTGAGAAAGGACGTGGCCCTGTGCCTGACATTTTATGGCTACGGCCTTGCAATATACTACTCTCTCTCTCTCTCTCTCTCAAGGGTGGAAGGGGGTGGGGGGAGAAACTGGTTGAAGTCGGGATACCGCATGGAATTAATAATGGCATGGGTATCTCAGCCAAAGAAAGTGCCAAAAATCGCAAGAAAAATTATATGGCAAAATTTGCAATTCATAGACTTACCAACAAACAAGAGCTGCAATCTCAGTTGAAGATTATTGGCTGCAAGTGCGCGAAAACAGATTTCATCGAATGATTCGGTCTCTTTCTTTCCTGAATGCTTCAACCACTAGTCGAGTCTATGTGTCATGTCTCTGAAGTACGCGAGCTGTATTGATCTACAAAAATACATTCGATCGCAAGCAAAATATAACACGTTCTAATCCAGGGAGCTCATGTGCAGGATAGTAAGATACGAAAAATGCCGCACGCCGTTTGCGGCGAGGAGGGAGAGACCTATAGTAGGATGGATGTATATCCCCAAGTCCGGTCTGACTAAAAAAAAAAAAAAAAAAATTAAGAAGTACCGGGCGCTAACTTAAGCACACGCACAAAGGTAAGAAAAAAAAGATCACCAGCATCAGACAAAAAACCCTTCCTTATCATGAATCACATATTTCTCATTTCTAGCCCATATTCCTATTTTCTTCTCCACCCAAGACTGCAGATATCCATCCATCCATCTACCATGGCATTATCATCTACATGCAAGAGACTTCTTCGTCTACTCATCCCATCGGCCCCTGCAGAGAACGCCTCTCCCCCGCCTCCTCCTACTCTCGCAGAACAGATCGAGAGAATAGTTACAAAGAGGCGCCGGCCATCATACCTAACCGCCAAGGAAGAGCGCAATATCTTCGTCCGAAAGGTACGTATTAACGATGAAATATCCACCCCCCACCCCTCCCCAATAAAAATTAAAAAATTAAAACCCTCAAGAATGGAATCAAAGTGCTGCTCATACTCAATGCTGACAAACGTAAAATTTTACTATCAGCTGGCCTCATCACGAGCCCTGAATGAGATCCAGATCAACGTGATCGTGACGGCTCTGGGCGAGAAGTACCCGACCGTGGAATCGCTGCTTGTCGCCGTCCGCTTTAGAAAGGGTCAATTTGCGACATTCTATCCGAGTACGACCGGCAAACGATTCTATCCATATGACTACCCCAGGCGGCCGGGCCCAAGAGTCTACGATGGACTCAGACCGTCTCCCGAGGAGAAGAAGCTCTTGGGGACACTGTACAATGGGGGGGTGACAGACGAGTGGCTGGCGAAAGACTTCGTCGCCCCTTTACGGGATGCTGCAACCGACTACGAGTTCGAGGAGAATAGTTGGTGGCAGGCGAGAGGGTATCATTGCGAATACCACTATCTGAATCAGGTCTGGGACGAAGAGATCACGCGCTGCTATTGTGGTGGCCGAAATATCAAGAGCTGGCGTTGGGAATGGTCTGGAGAGGGATACAGGAATGGAGAGGAGTACATGGCACAAAAGTCCCAAGAAAGAGGGTCTAAGGGAAGAGTGCTTGAACAGGATATAAGTATCATTCAGTATCTTGATGGCTCCAGGTGGAACGCTCCCTTTGGTATGGGATCTCCTAAGGCCTAGGGCGCATGGTTACGTCCGTCGCAGGATCGGTAGAACCGATTATAGAGACCAGGGGTAAGCATATTGATCGAAAAAGAAAAATCCCATTCGTTCCTGGTTCAAGCCTGCCAACTGTGGGCCTTGGAGTCGAACCTCAAACTTATCCGCTCACGGCAACTGAAAAGTGTTTTCCTCCCACGCTCTAGGGCCGCCCAAAACTCCCCCCCCCCCCCCCCCTTCCCCCATTCGTAAACTTGTCGTAAAAAAATTCCCCCCGGACTCCTCTGCTCTCGACAATCCTCGCTTCAACCCATTGGTGTATTCTTTCCTCGATGTGCCGCTGCACGGCATCCGAATCGGTATCTAAAATTCTCACGACAGTGATGTTCAGAGCATGATGTTCGGACCAGCTCCAGTATAGAGCTACAAATGGTATGCCATCGAGCAGAAGATACTCCAAGTACCTTTTATAGCTTGTACTCGGCTTGTTTTCATACTGTATAACAAGATTATTTTCAACTTATAAAAAGGACGGTTCAATTTACTTACCACGCTCGCGTGCAGTCTGTACCTGCTTGACTCTCCTTTTGTGGTTTTCCCTTGATGAAAGGTTTCTTTTTATGTGATCCATCCTATCTGTAGGGGAAGGGCGCATGCGACAGTAGCCCTCGCTACAGCACTATGAATTGCCTTCTGGGGCCTTCTTGTATGTAACTCCTTAGCTTAGCACGTCGCCGTACCCTATGGGAGGTCCCAGGGCGGCAGGCTTCGCCTGCTACCCGCCCGACGTAAATAAATACAACAACAACAACTACTACCACGCTCGCGTAGAATGCGACGGCACCGAGCGTATAGCTTCGGAACACCAAGGCCATCGTCTGCCACCTGTATCTGTAAAGAGGTTTGTTCCGTTCCGATGGCGACTTGTTGCGGCTGTTTGCCGGAGAAGATGCGTGTTAAACATCGTTCTCGAACTCCGCGAATCGCTCCGTGAGCTTTATATTTGATCCAAATGTCAGCATTTCTCCAGGGTTCCACTGGGCCCGTATGTGTAGACCAATTCCTCGGCAACATGCGAAGGGGAGAGCTCTATTGTCGAGAATCTTCAATCGCCATTTCCGAATGCATTGAGAGAACACGTACTTTTCGAATCCAATCCATCCAACGCGCGACCGCCGGGTCAATGGCTGTCGGGTGGTACCAATGGAAATGGGGAGCAATTGGCATGCTCTGCCAGGCCCGTAAATCCTTCGGCCATCCAATCCCCTTTTATCCTGCAGAAATATTTTTCAAAAATGAATCAATGTGAACATTTATCTCCCGCAAAATATGCTATCATGGCTCCTCGGCCTCTTTCATATCATATTCATACTTCTTCTGGCTTGGAGTCTGGGTAGTAGACAGGAGTCACAGGATATCATCTACGAAGCCTAGCCCCCCCTCTTCTCTCCATTTTCTGACGCAATACAACGAGAGCGGCGCAGAAGGGGGGGAAAAAAACTAAAAAACGGTAACCGCATACCGTTCCGAGAAGATATCATACGCTTAAAATCGAAATGATTTTAGCATGGAGTGAACAATGGACACCTCAACAATGGATGAGCTTGTTCCTGCTAGACAAGGCATGTGTTTACCCCTCTTCCTTTCCTGTTTCAATTTTGACGTGATAGATCGGCTCTGAAAACCTTCTCGAATTTGCGCAATTAGTAGCCATTGCACTGACTATTGCTCATCTTTTATGTTCTAAATATTTTGTGAACTAATAATAGAAACACTAGTACTACGGACGCACTAGAGGATGACTGTTTTTCGAGGCCCTGGCTAAAAATATGCTCTTTTCTTTCCGGCGCAATGGATAGACTCTGGACCATTCTCGCGCTTACCACGCTACTGCTTTTTGAAGAAGTGTGTAAGCTATTTATAGGAACACTTTTTAAGAGATATCAATACTCGTACGAAGCACTAGAGGATGATTCTTTTCTTTGGGCCTCAGAAGAGATTTTGGCCTTGAATATTGAGTCACGACGCCAGATTCCAGCTTAAATTCTCGATATGTCGGCTGGCGAGCTAAAAGAGAGAGAGAGGGAGAGAAGAAGAGGGAGAGAAGGAGAGAGAAGGAGAGAGAAGGAGAGAGAAGGAGAGAGAAGGAGAGAGAAGGAGAGAGGAAGAGGGAGAGAAAGAATGAGCATGTTTTTTAGTATATCTTCTAGTTCATTGTTTGGTGTATTCTTTAGTATGTTCTTTAGTATATGTTTTGGTGTATATTTTAGCTTTTCCACTCCCACTTCGACCGTCGCGTACTTGCACTCGATTCATTTTCAGTAAATAGAAATTTACAGAATGGATTGCCGAATAATCATTCGAAGTGTGGAAATATTCCTTGATGTTTGATCTCGCGTTGTGCTAATCGTGTGTTACTGGAGAGAATGGCTTAGCCGAAAACGACTTTCGCCTCATCGTGTATTGCACCCGTCACTTCTTCGCCCTTCTATTTCCAATTTATAGAAATTCACGTAGTAAATTGCTGAGTATAGATTTGAAGTATAGTGATCCTTAATGGTGTTTAATTTTGCATTTCAATAATCATGTGTTACTGGAAAGAATGGGAAAGTTCGTAATTTGGCCGAAAACCAGAAAATGCTCACATTGTCTAGAGTATTGGATTAGCTTAAAAATCTCTGAGTCACAGGCGTAGTTCCACTTAGTATTCACGTACTGAGCAAGTTTCCTAGCTCATATACTGAGCACATTTACTAACTCGATCTTGATTTTATGGCTTCTGGCTAAAAAATTAGCATGCCTCTTCGCAACTATATAAGGATGGCCTCCCCCCCCAGACCTACGACCTTTTTTCCAAACAAACCAAACACTGCAATCTCCAGTCTCCAGAAATTCGATTATATTACAGAATTCTTAACACCACTCGCTTTCTATCAGCCATCAGCTATCAGACTTATACCTCTCACATCTCTCACATCATACTTTTCTAAAAACCAAACACCAATACCCAACATAACCGACATCTCACCTATCCAAACACGAGACATGTCGGGCCCTTCAGAGAGATGTCAGATCGTCAACACACCCAAGAAGGGAGCTGAATGGAGCGAGGAGGAGATTGCATTGAACAACCAACCCGAGGCCCTCTCGTTCCTCCTTAAGTCAACCAAAGAGGAGTTGAACGGAGGCCTCAACAGAAATCGATACGGCATCGTCGTCGATTTCAACAAGCACAAGCGAGCGGCTGCTGATCAACACAACCAAGATGCTATAAAGCAGGACAACATTACGAACCAAGACAACACCGCCAGAAGCCTGAAGGCGAACGCGCCCGCTTCCGATCACGTTTCCCGACCGATTCTCGACAACGGATCAAACAACAAATTCACCGGACAGAAGATTGCCGGCTCAGATGCTGGAAAATTTAAGGGTCTTGCTGGAAGCAGATATGGAACGAATCTTCATCGCGGCGGCCCCCGCCATCCTCTGAGCGCCATGGGCCCGAAGGCGAAGGCGCCCGCATCGGATCATATTTCTCGACCTATCTTCGACGACGGATTGACGACCAAGTTCACTGGACAGGAGATTGCTGGCTCGGATTTTGGCAAGTTTAAAGGTCTTGCTGGAAGCAGATATGCTTGAGGACTTCTGGGAATGGGAATGGCATGCGATATTGTATGCCTCGTGTCGGGAAAGGCATGCGATATCGTATGCCCGGTGCTGGAAAGCAAGGAATGTTTGGATGGATGCGATGGTTACGAATTGGATGGGTCGAATCTACTGGGAGGAACGAATGCTACGGACTGTTAGGGGAGGCTGCCCTTACTTTGGGGACGATCTGCGATATCGTACGCCCAGTGCTGGGACATGGAGGGCTCTTTGGTTGGATACGATTGTTATGGAATTGGATATTGCCAAGGTTATGGGTTGGATGGAGTCAATGTACTGGGAGGGATGGATGCTACGGACTGTTGGAGGAGTTTGCCCTTGCTTCACTTCAAATGCAAGAAAAGACTTCTCGGACCAAACCAAACTATTTCCTGTGACTTCAGTGACCAAATAGTACTTAAAATTTCTCCATCTCAGTACCTCAGTTGTGAGATCCATTTATTTATCGAATCAATGTTCTCACTTTCAGTCGCTCTTTCAGACTATTTATTCATAGCAGAACAATCCTAAACAAGCCTTCCCATTTTCTTCAATGGTCTAACCTCTTTACAAGAAGACTTTTACCCCTCTTCACTTTGCCCGCTCGCTGGCCGCCATTAAGAATCGCACCTCGAGGTGACTGATCACCTCGAGAGTTCATTCAATCTGATACTCGAAGTCGAGTGACTCCAGGCCAGCTTCGTTGCCGTCCATAGATTCTGCTAGAACGGTCGCGATGACCGTAGTAGCTGTTGTTGCTGGAGAATGAAGCCGCTGTGTATGGAGAGAGCTTGCGAAAGACTGATTGATGAGAAGATTGCTGTTCGTGCTGGCTCGTAATTGGGGCTCGAAGTCGTTGGATTTACTCCTCAAGATACGAGGTAGCGTCAGCCGCGCTAACTTCAGGCAATTCCATTCGTAGTATATTCAAACAGATTGAATATACTGCCGGTTCAATCTTGCAGATATGTCCGGGATTATGGGCGCCTAAACACGTATCAGCGGGTAGTCGAACTCTAATCTCCGCTTAAGTTATCAATCAATGTAAACAAGTGATCGAAATATGAATAAAGTCGGAGAAGAAGTGATCATGACCATCTGAAATGGGCTTGCTTTCATCTGTAAATATCTCAATATCCGATCAGTTGTTCAATGCACCTTCCGGGAGCCGATGGCCGCAGAAATTTCGTTTTTGGTATATAAAACCCCGGACGTGTTCCCTGAACATATTCAGAATCTCCGTCTAGCTGGTCTAGTGGTTCATCGTCTGCCTGCTCCGATCTCGAATATCTGGGTTTTCGCTTTCGTGCGACCAAGGGGATTCTGAATATTCGAAAAACGGGTTCAATCACGTTTGTATTCCAGAACCTCGCCAATGCGGGTTTCTGGAAGATTTTTGCAATTTTTTGCATTAACGAAAATGGGCTAGCTGGCTGGCACGATCATTTTGACTTTATAGCGAGTCTACTGGACAAAGAAAGGGTTGAGGAATCAGTCGTAATCCCTTCATGTCAATAAGGAAGAGGTTTCGTGCACGTCAAAGCAAGAGTTGTTTGTCATGGCCATCCTCGGTCCATTGTAAAAAGACAAGACTAGCTACTCGGAAATCTGCGATTTCCCTCTCCCCAACCCATGTCCCCGAGCTGCGAACAGCTCTCCTCTATACCTAAACTACCCCCTCTCCCCTCCCCAGTCCCCGAGCTGCGAGCAGCTCTCCCCTATACCTAACTACCCCCTTTCCCCAATCCAATCCCCGAACTGCGAACAGTTCTCCCCTTTTCCACGAACTGCGAACAGTTCTCCTCTATGCCATTACTACCAGAGACTCTCAGGGCCCTGTACGGATCTCAACAAGCCAGCCTTTGCTGGAGAGGAGAGCAAGACACGTAATGACGACCTCCATCCGGCCGAAATAGTAAAGATATGCCGATCTCACAAGCTATTGCTAGCAAGGAGATCAAGACACATCAATACAGCTCCAGCCAAGTCGGTAGTCAAGTCAAAACGTGCCGATCTCAACAATCCAGCGCCGGCAAGGAGATCACGACTCAAGACCCCTCGAGCTCAACCCCCGCCCTCTATCCTCCCATCCCCCCCCAAATCCTCCCTATCCTCCTAATCCCCCCCTCACCGCCCAAGCGCCAATTTGAGCGGCCATGCGGACAGCAACACGATGCTGCCGATGAGCACGCTCTTCATGGTGAGCCTGGACGGCTCGGGTCGCCCACAGTCCTCCTCAAAGACGCAGTCGTCGTACGACGAGTGCTCTCCGCTCCCCTCCAGAAGCTCTCCAACCACCTCAATAGCAGGTGGGCTCGGTCGATCCGCGCACATTGGGACACATGCCGCCTCGGGAAAGTAGGGGCATGTGTTTTCCAAGTGGGACCGGTCAGGAGCCCATCTGCTGCTGGTGGTTGGTAGCTGCGGCAGCTGCAAGTACCAACTTGTGCAGATCAGACCCATTACGACGATGATCGCAGCCCCATACATAGTACGGGACCGGACCACCGCCGTGGGCCAGGATGATCTGCCACCCTGGCCCCGGGTTGTTCCAGACGGGAACACTGGTGAAATCGACACCACCATGATCGGAGAGGTGACCATGGTGGGTGCTGGAGCTGGTACTGGTACTGGTGCTGGTGCCGGTACTGGAGGGGGAGCGGGGGTCGGAACTGGGGCCGGAGCCGGAGCCGGAGTTGGAGCCGGAGTTGGAGCCAGAGGTGCTGGAGCACATGGCGAGAGGGAAACCGTCATCACCTGAGAGATGGAGCATGTGGGGGTCGGGGGAGGCATGACTGGAAGGGGTGCGGACGCACCCTGTCCCAGGGTCTCGGCATTGACGCCCGAGACCAATCCGGCGCCGCCTCGTCGTCCCGCAAGACGACGGCGTGCCTCCGGATCCCAATGCTTCCCCTTTCCGGAGACCACATTGCTCAAGTCCACCTTCAGCCAGTGGTACTTCGATCCTTGGTACTTGGCTTTCGCCAAGTACTGGCTCACGATTACCCCTTGGCCCTCGATGCTGCTGCCGGAACACAAGAGACGGCGCGAGGTCTCGTTGCGATCGAATTCCGGCAGCTCGCTAACGAGGCGTGCTAGGATTCCCTCCGCGAGACTGGCTCCCTCAAGGTCTCGGGCTGGCTGTACTGTAATCGTACCCAACCCCTCCCTGAGAGAGGCAATCTCGCTCTCCAACTCGCTGATCTTCTCGGTAGAGTCCGAAACCCTCTTACAGAGGGCCTCGTTCTCTACCTGTGAGTCGGAGACCCTCTGTAAGAGGGTCTCCTTCTCTACCTGTGAGTCTTCAAGCTGAAGACTCACCTCCTCCAGGGTGCTCTTGGTGCTGGCCAGCTCGCGCTGGGTCGTCTCAGCCACCGCCTGCTCTCCCTTCAGAGTCGCAATCTCGAGCTCAAGAGCTCCGAGCTTTACCGTCAGGCAATTGTTGTCCTTGACGTCTTGCTCAAAGCTCTTGAGCTTGAGATTTGCTGCGAGAAGATCGCTCTTCAAGCTCTCGTGGTCCTTCAGGCCTTCCTCGAGGTCTGCTACCTTGCGATTGGCCTCATCGAGGTCTGCTCGCGCAGCCCCGGCAGGTACAACCGCGGCAGCAGCCGCCTCGAGGGCTCGTTGGTTGGCTTGAAGTTGCTCAACCAAGAGCTTCTGGGCCTGAAGGTCCCGGTTGGCGGTCTCCAACTGGCTCCGGACCTGGTCCCGGTCCAGGGCGACCGCCGAGAACTTGTTCTTGGCTGCCTCCAAGATCTCCGCAGGCACAATTCGGGAGCTGAGCTCACCGGCCTTGGCCGTGAGCTCGGCGATCTCCTGTCCTTGGCTCTGCTGGAGAAGCTTGTATTGGGCTTCGAGGTCGCGGAAGCGGTCCCCGAGGAATCGGATCTCCCCATCCTTTCGCTCGAGGTCCGGGCGGCAAGACTCTTTCCCGTCTGCGATTCCGGCCTCGAAAGCCCGCTGGCTGGCAGCCTGGATCCGGCTCTCCAACTGGCCCTCGGTCATTGCGGGTGCCATCAACACATCGCCATACCCTGCTCCAGCCGTCTGGTTCTGGTCGCCGTACTGACCGTCCCCTTCATAGGCTGAAGCAAGGGCCTGGTCCTCGTCCCAGGCTGGCGTCTGGTTCAGGTCTCCCCATCCTCCACCGACTCCCTGGTCTCCCCATCCTCCACCGAATCCCCCACCCCATTGCCCACCAAATCCACCGAATCCTCCACCGAATCTGACTTTGTAAAAATTAGCACTGATATGATGTTGACGTTGTGCGAAACTTACAGTCTTCTCCAGTCGGTGCACCGGGCCATCCTCCAGGCCCAAAATCCTCCTCCTCTTGTGGACCCTCTTCCGATGGCTGGTCGTCGACAACACCGGCAGAGGGATGGTACCCGCTCTGCGCCGCTGCGTGTTGCTCTTGAATACGTCGAAACTTTTCAGTTTCGATCGTAGCGGCATCCTTGCCCAGATATCGGAGGCTCGGATCGATGTTGTCGTCGACGGGCGCCCACGAGGCTGCTCCGGACGGAGCAAGCCCAACTATACTTGTGGTTAGTACAAGATCGATCTGAGAACGGCAGGATAGAACTTACGCGTGAACGCCGACAGCCCTTGGCTGATCCCAAGCGCAACCTCCATGCTCGGTCCCCCAACAAATTGTGGCTCCTCCCCTGCCCCATCACCGGCCTTCTTGTATCCCTTCTTCGGGCTCACCGCCCCGGCCGCAAAACGATCTCCCTCCCCGTCGTCGTCCTCATCCCTACCCTTGCGCTTGGTTTGCAGAGGGGCTGCAGCCGCACGAGGTGCTGCGGCTGCAGCAGCAGGCTTGCTCGTGGTGTCCGAGCGGCCATACAAGAAGTCCTCTGCTCGCCTCGCGGCATCGGGGTCGGGCACGAACATCGGCTCGTTGGGTCTCGCCACGTGGAAGGGGCTGGGACCGGGACCAGCGAGACCCTCCGATGCTCGTGCTGGCTTGGGAGACTGGGAGGGCAGCGGCAGTTCGTACTTGGTGGGAGAGGGATACATGTCGTGAGGTGTGAGGTGGTTTGAGTTGTGTATGGAGAGGGGTGTATGTGTGTATGTGTTTGTGTAAGCTTGGCTTGTGTGTGTGGAGAGTTGTTGGAGTTGTGGTGGAGTTGTGTGCTTGGGGTTGTGTGAGTGTTAGGTTGTAAGTGAGTGAGAGGAGATGGGTTGAATATTTAAGGAAATAGCTGAAAAGAGTTGCGTGGAGGCGCTAAGGCTGGGACTAGTCCCAATCCGGTCGCTAAGCGAGGACGACGTCAACAACATCCTCTCACCTTCCACGAAAAGTCGCGTTGACGCGGCCGCATAGCCCCACCATCCCCGAATGGGAAATTTGTGGATTAGAGAGGCCTTTACACTCCTGGTTACACTGCTCTGCGTATTGAAATCGGAATCATTCTGGTATTTAGAAATAGTAACGCCGTAACGGGTAGGACCTCGAGTGAGCCTGATGACTACATGCAATTATTTGATACGGGGCAGATCCCTCGCTCGAGGCCTGAAGATAGGGATCTTCAATATAGGGAGCGAAATGACGAGGCCCTCTATACTAAAGTGATGTCGCCAAAGGATAAAAGCTCGATTTCCGAGGACTTCATTCCTGCTTGGAGGCCACCAATCGCGGAATAAAATAGCCACTTCTATCCCCCAGACAAGTGGTCACACGACATTTATCTTCAGCAATCAAGCCATCAACCCATCCTCCGTCCACGAGGACTTCCCACTTCGTCGTACCAACAAGTCACGCGAAGTCCAGCTCAAGTAGTCTCTCGCCGGAGACTTCCAGTCTCGATAGGAATTCGAGGAACTTAGAGAAGCCACGTCTGTGGTGTGTTGAGCCGGCAGAACTTGAGTATGGGTTTGTCGTGTGAAAGTCTTCCCTCGATTGTAGAACTTGTAACTAACGTCATTTCACCGGCAGTAGTTCCACCACCCAAGAAGTTACCTGCCTTACCAACATTCCCTCCTATACAAGCTTATTCAAGACGGATCTGCCGAAAAAAGCATCAATCAAGAGAAGTGATCCTGCGCTCAAGTTGAACCGCTGCTCTAGGATCTTCGGCAAAAGTGATGGATGCCAACAAGCCAGAGCGCCGGGGCCAAACAGCTCCCAAACAGCTTGACTTCAAAGACGAAGAGACGCAATCTGCCAAATCAAACAATACATATCAACTATAAATGGCAAAAGGTAGTGATACTGGGTGAGATCCAGCTTGGGGATACGAACGAAGCGTACACTCTAGATGCAACAATCTTTTCCCAGGTCTATGGATAGTTATAGGAAAGATTGTATGATATTGGAATCGCAAGTGTTGCAATGTGCAATCCGCAAACGGGACTGGGAAGGAAGCAATACAAGAGGACACGAAATATATTAATCTTGTGATCCAAGCAGGGAACGGAAAGCTCTCGCAGTATTTATTCTATGTATATAAATCTATGCTTTCTCTTCTGCCTTGAGAAATCAAGGAGCTAGAATACGAGATATTTCAATTGAAGAATTTTTCTTTCAAAGCACCCACCAGTGATATTATGGACAGTCTACAGAGATACACAAGAGGTTCTTCAAGCCCGAGACGGATCCATCAGCTGGAATTCAAACGCCAGCATAAATGATGCCACGGGCATCCGAAGAAAATTTTCGAACTCTCGATCTGCAGCCCCGAACGGAAGCCCTCTAGAGATTTGAAAGGAGGACATAAGTGAAGAGCTTTCTACCCAGAACGAAGAACACTCGGGGCTGGCCACACCAAGCAAGGAAGATAAGGTCTAAGAGGATTTTGTCCGAAGAGATTCAGTTGCATAGGTACCTAAGCATAGCATTTCTACTTCTAGAGCCATACGCAATTTTATTTTCATTCCAAGGAGAAAGAAAAAGAGAGGAGGTTCCGCTACTTGATTTTCTAATAAAGGATACAATAATCGCATAACATAACTGCCATTTTTCAGTTTTGAGATGTATTAGTGCTAGCATATTTCATCTTTGCTCTTCAGATGCTTAACTAATAAAAGCTATAGATCAAGATGCTAATTAGATGCACCATCTTCTAAATGTTATTGATGAGTAAACAACTGTTAATAACCGGTTATCTTGACAAAACCGCTCGTAAACAAGTCACAACTGACGAAAGATAGAGTAGATTTGGCGTAGATCTTTTGATAAAAGCAAAAACGACCTTGGATGCAGCATTGAATTATGTCAATGAGAACATTCGGAAATTTTTATGTCTAGGCTACTCAAGCAAAGAGGAAAAAGCAGTAGTTCATCAAAGATGAGACATGGTAAGAATCCCTTGTTATCGGCGAATTTCTTGCTTTCAACTTTGTCACTTCTAAAGAAGACGTCAGCTTGAGAGGTTTTAGTGCAAAGTATAGTCAATATAGTTGCCGATAATCAAGTATTGACTCTTCTAGTTGGGACAATCAGAGAAGACAAGGGAGATTTGGCAAAGAGCATAACTACTTGGGTATTCCAGCCAAGCTCGAAGCTTTTCGGGTTTATATGGTTGATGATGAAGGGTATAATCGCACTGGTAATGCAATTCTGGAAGATTTGGCTTGTGTATTTGAACGAACTGGTTCACGGCTTTGGGAGAAGCTCAAAATGATTTATTCTAATGATTCGTCGGATTCATTGATCACGGAAACTCATTTCAAAGGCATCCCATATATTCCAGAGCGGAAAAAGGTCATTTGTTCACCTGCTTCTCATTTAGGACAGCCATTTCATTCTTCATGATCAGGGAGTAGTTCAGAATTCTGGCAAAAGTTCGATATAGAATGAAGCCCGGCTGGTTCCCACTTCACCTTTCAATTCCCTACTACAAATCTTGTTCTTCAATCTCACTTGGTGGAATTTAAGATCAGTAATCAGGATTCCAGATATGGCGAGTCTGCTATATTCATCGACCACGCTATTATAAAGGACAAAATCTTCCTGAGTCTAACAGAAGTGGCAGGCACGGCATTTTTCACAATTCCAGTTGCGTGAAAGCTTGAAGTTCTTTGGCGACTTCTTTTAAGATAGTCTTTATTCTTGCACTCCGTCGAAGAAATCCATAGATTAGTGGAATAGTTAAGCAGCGAAAATGATGTTTACTGTGACACTTCAAGGCTAGATAGTAGGCTGGATAGAAATAGATGAATTTGTATTTATATACAGAGCGATCTGAATTGAAATATCAAATATTATTGTATTGGTACCTGAGGCTACTCTTCACCTGTTCACCTTCACGAACCTGACCTTCCACCCCCTCCAAGTAAGATTTGGCCGAGCACTGGCCAAATTTTCCTCTGCAGGCAAACCAGTCACGATGACGTAGTATTCTAAAAGAACAAAGAAATCTCGGTGGGGCAGCGAAAATTTTAGCCCACAATCGCATTCATTGTTATTGTCGTCGCCGCCATTCTCGCTTACGCTAGCGCCGACCAGACCCACAAACATACTTATTCAGAATTCAACCTCAATTTTGCGACTTCCCTCCTTCTTCACCACAACCAACCGCACAAGATAAAACTTCGGTGCTATCCTACACAACACAACACAACAAAACATACAAACTCGAGACAAGATGAGCAGTATCTGCACCGTGAGTACCTCACCTTCAAGAACTAAAATTGGCAGCACACAAGCTGACTGCAGGAACTTTAGACCAACCACCTGGAGAGCGCCATGACTACCAAGGCCTCTCACCCCTCGCAGCATGACCTGAGCCAGGTCGCCCAGCAAGGCGAACCGGGCTCAGAGCAGCCTAAGAAGAGGCGTAGGAGAACGCGGAGGAGAAAGGCGAAGACGACGGGGGGAGAGGAGGAGGAGGAGGGAGAGGGGGAGATGGAGATGGAGATGGAAGAGGGGGCCGCGGAGAAGGTCGAGGAGACTGTGGTTGCTGTCCTTGCGGACAGCGATCGCAGCCCCTCTTCGGCCGATCCAGAGCTCACTCTTCCATCGGAGGAAGCCGACGTCCCTCGTGGACTTGAAGTTGAACCAAGCGGGGATGAGTCCGCCGTTCAGAAAACCCCGACAATCCCTCCACCCAGCTCGGTACTAGAGCTCGGGAACCTCATGGAGGACGTATTCAGCGATCTGCAAGGTCAGATCCGGGAGTTGAAGGTCGAGATCGAGAAGCTCCGAGAAGCTGCGTCCGACCGAGAGAATGGAGCCAGGCAATCCGTGCCTCGAGCTGAAACAAGAAAGCCCCGCCAGAGGGGAGGACTACAAGCAATGGGCGTGAGGAGAGAAGACCTGGTGGAGAGCGGCATCTTGGCCTGGCCAAGTGATGAGATTGTTCTGGCAGGAACTTTAAATCTCCGAAAAGTCGGACACGACGACTTGCAAACCGCCGAGTTTGCCCAAGCACCAGCCGAGCTCCCTGCTCGTGTACAGGGCAGCCAATCAAAGAGATCCTTCCCGACGAAGTACATCATGTACTTCATCGGGATGCTTCTGCTCGTCGCTGGGTCCGCTACTATGTATGGCCACTGTGCCACCAGCAGATTCTTCGCTGGTGTGACACCAAACTCTCTTGCCATCACCACGACATTCACCCCGCCACCTCCCACCTCCAATTTGCAATCCCTCTATATGAGGATATCAGAATCTGTTTTTGCGCCGCCTGAATGCTCGATGGATGACATCCCAGGTCCCGATCTCGACACCGATCTCCCTCTCTTCGACAAGGCCACACAGCACAAGCTGGTCCAGCGCGTACGCGCTAGAATCAGCGAAGAGTTGCAACACCACGACCGCCTCAGAGAAGCCCTTGCCAGAGTCAGCGAAGGAGTCCAAGAGACTTGGAAGAGACCGGCCGTTAAAGCTGTGGCCGCCACCATCACTGTCTCGGCAACAGCATACGGCATTGGCCGCGCCACGGGCTACGTGCCACCTTTTGATTTCCGATCTGTCCAGACTGCTGCCTCTGAGGAGCTAGAAATGTTCATGGAATTCTCCTTGAGGATATTCCGGGACCGTACGTAACTCGACAATCGAGTGTTCGGGGGGTTGGAGAGTGTGGGTGGTTGAGCGCAGGGAGCGGGTGGGGGGGAGGGGTGGGGGAGGGCGCTGAATGGTGCGCGAGTGGGTTTCTTTTACGAGCGTAGATAGAGCTGGGAATGTTGGAGTTCCCTCCTCGGTCGCACTCGGTGTTTGATTATTTCTTTCTTAGTTAGTGTCATTTTTTCAGAGCGGGATTTGGAGATGGTGGAAGTAGTTCGTGCAGAGGATGGAGGGTTCGCCCGGCCTGAGGCTCACGACTGCGGAGACTGTTGCGGATTGGAGGAGGGGCGTGGTCCAAGCATCTCCTGACTGGTCGTTGGCAACGACCAGTCGGTTTGATGGTGCTTGAGACTTCGCCTCGTAGATAGGGCAAGCGGCCATTAGGGGTGTGGGATGCTAATGCTTAAGGGTGGCATTCGTTATTGTTCCGTCCGGCTCTGCTGGATGTTGAGCATTGACTTGAGTGTCACCTGGCTGGCAATTGTCGGCGGCATTAGCAGGCTCATCACATGGACTTGGGTTTGTAGTTGACTCTTCTGGGTCGACGCAAAGCGGTATTCTGGACTGTAATGTAAATAAAGAAGACTTTTTATGCCAATATTCCATTCGAACTCCGGTGTTCACGCTCAGTAACCTTGATGCCATGGAAATGATGCAAGCTATAGCCATTCTCGAAACTCCTCTTGATCTTTTACTTAATTTCCCACAATTTTGCTTTGCTTTTGAGGCATCACCGTGGACTTGCGCAACATGCCGGCGGCCCAGAAGAATTCAGGAATCAGGATATTAATCGCTTCCCATTACAGTGAAGCTACGTTACAGTATACTGCGCGGCGTCGTGTATGACTTCAAATACCCCACTCTATGATTCTATATATCTTCAATTCTAAACAGGAATAAGACTCCAGCTTCTATTTCATTTGCTGCAGACCCAAGCTGTTGCTGCAAAGTCCTGGTTGATAAGAGTATATAACTTAAGTCTCAGAGATGCATTTGCAAGAGCAAGATACCTTACTCATTTTCTAGAATATAATTCTGCACTACTACGTTGAAGGTCCTCCTAATTTCCCATGCCATGTCCAAGATGAAGGAATCGGCATGTCGTTGCAATAAGCATTAGTTTCCGGCTTGGCATCCGCTAGCAGAACCAGATGACCCTCCGGAGAACAATCGTAGGCTTTACCCCAGAACAAAAAAGAAACCTGGAGAAACCATCAAAGGTGAAACCAGACGGATCTGAAGTTATAATTACAGCTGGGAATCAATGTTGGAAAATATTTCTGTGCGCTGTCACGTGCAGGTGGGGTCCGCGCCTCGCTTAGCACCAGCGCGTGCTCTTTCCCAGACAGGAGCGCGAAAATAATGTAATCAAGTCTTCCAACAACGAAACTCTCAACCTCGACAGATACGAAATCCTCGATACACAAATCCGGAATTCCAGTAACTCTATCTTCCCTACTCAAACTACACGACCAAATAACACAACCCAAAACAAGCACAAGTCAATCCGACCGTTGCCCAGCATGCGTACCCCCGAGCAACTCGCTGCTTTCCTGGCGGAGAAGAAAGCACTGCTAGCGACGACTGCAAATCGAGTGACTCCTGGCAGCACTCCGCAGATTGTCCCTACATCGAGCCTCCGGGCAGACAGCTCCTCGATACCTCCTACGCCCGCCGTACAAGGCCCCTCGACGCCCGCTCCACCACCATTTCCAGAGAAAGCCTCCGGCTTCATGCCTGAGCGTACCCCGACTCCGCCAATGATTCCCAGCAGAGCGGACGCTCCCTCCTTCTTCGCCCCTTTTGAAAGCAATAATAAGAGAAAGCTGGAGGCATCGGAGGGTGGCAACTTCGGGGCGCCCTTGGCCAAACGTCAGATTCTTGCTTGCAAGAAGAGAACCATACGCTTCGCCGCTGCGCCTAATCCCCCATCGTCGGTCCCTACTTCGACATCTTCGGTATCTCCAGCTCCCTCAGCCGCCCCAGCACCAGCAGATAATGGACTCGGTGATCTGGTAGATTGCTCTGGGATCGGAAGCCCATCTCTTCTGCCAGCTCTACCATCTTTCTATGATGATGAGGATTTGGAGGAGGTAGCGTTGGATGATCTGGTCAGTAGACCGAAGATGAAGGCGAGAGCTTCCAGGAACGTCGAGATGCCGGATGTGGTTGATGGGCCGCCTGTGCCGACCGTTGGGATACCAAGATCAAACGCCTTGGCTCCTCCTCCCTTGGCCACTAAATCGGCATACGCACAATTGGCTTCGCTATTCGTCGCCCCGGTACCAGATTTGTCTCCCTCGGTTGCCTCGTTCCCCTCGGGTGTCTCGTCTACACTTGCACCAGTGGCTCAGTCTTCTGGACTTCAGGGCCAACAAGGAAGCGAAATTCATGGGAAACATACTCCCACGGACCTCACCGACGACAGCCAGCCAATTCAACACACTGGTCCTGAAGAGGCGTCTACAGAGGAGCCACAGGATACAGCTATAAATGTCGGTGCCGTTGACAGTCCTTATCCAGGGGTGGAGGGGAGCCAGGTTGGCACAGATGCTCCCATACGGGACTCGTCGTCCGATGACGCGGACTCAACGATGCTTGAATCAGCCACGCTGCCAGCTACCCAGAGCGGTACTAGTGATACTGCGAGCAAGGCCGTTGATCAAGATGTTGTGATGGAGGACGCGGCAAGCGCGCCTGCAAGCTGTGCAGGTATCCCAAATACCCAAGCTCCAATGATCTACACCCCTCCCGTGGCGATAATGCCACCTACGTTTACGCAGTATCGAGAACCTGCTTCTTCAAGCGGTAGCATGCTGGCACTTTACACTTCTGGCATCCCTGCTGGTTCAAGAAATCATACTCTCCCACACGGTCTGTGTGCGGATTTCGAGGAGCGTGTTTTGGAGCAGGATACGATTGCATTGATTCAATCGGGAGCTTTCAATACCGACGACGAGAGTAAGATTGTTACTCTCTCGTGGAACAAGCCTGACGCCACCATTGCGGAGATAACAAACGAGCTGGCGGCTCTGTCTATTCATTGCAACCCATCTGCTCCTGTCGAGATATTTGACCCATCTTTTGCCTACGATTTTGAAAGTGCTCGACAATCTGAGACGGCTATTTCGCCAATCATACTCCAATCTCCAGTTCAGGTAGTTGAGTATTCAGCCGGCAACTTCGAGGCGTGTCACCAGACCAAGCAGAGATCCGAGGAATTCTCCGAAGATACGTGTGTCAGAGATCTTGCTGTTTTAACCGTTCGAGAAGATGATTACTCGTTTATGGAGGAGACGAACGTGTCTGAAATGGCCCTTTCAGAGCCTGCATCGGAAACACCCGTCGCTTGCAATAGGGAACCAGTTGAGAATGGAGAGATCACCAACCTCGTTGGTTCATCACCTTCTGTTTCCGAAACAGCTGATTATGGTGCCTCTGCGCCTGCGCTGGTCGGAGAGATTCAGAAGCGCGTCGAGAGTAAAGAGTCTATGGAAGTAAAAGAGACTTCCTCGACGAACTCTGCCACCACCGAAGCTCCTTTTTCCACCCCCGCGCCGGTTATTGAAGAGATTTCTGTGAGCACTGTGGCGACTGAGATGGAGAGTTCTAGCACCTGGAAAGAAGTCGAGCCGGAGTTGTCCTTGGCTCTTGTATCAGACATGCACGTGCCAGCTACTGCGAGCAATGGGCAAGAGACCCTAAACAAAGCTATGTGTAGCTCAGCGATCGAGGAGGATACCCAGGTGCTGATACATGACATGGAAGCTTCGACCTTGGAAGTCTCGAGAGACTCCAAAACAAAGACATTTATTTCAGAACGACTGGGAAAGGATGTTACATCCTACAATCGAACTCCTGGTGTCTCATCCACAAAACCGACTAAGAAGAGAGAGAGTTGTGTGATCAGCAGATTCGATCTTTTGCCCGAGGCCAAAGTAGAGACGGCCACCTGCAAGAATACCAGACCCCCAGTTCGAAAAAGAGCAATGGAACGGGTGATAGAAGCATGCCACACCAGAGGCCATAATAAGGCCGAGACGAAGCAGGTCAGAAAGAGATGGGTGCGCCCCAAGTCTCCTGAGATGACCGCCGAGCAGCGAGCTAAATTCCACGCCCGCATGGTTCGGGCAGGGCTCCGCGAGGACCCAAACGTGGAAGTCCCTGCAGCACCGCTATATGATTCCGCTGTGCTGTCCGCAGAACTGGCAGCTGCTGCTGATGCAGTGGCACAGCAGGCTGCTGCTGGCATCGTGAGCGCCATTCTTGCGTCGGGAGGATATCCGATGGTGGCACGACTGGTGCCTGGCGAGCCTGGGCCGTTTGATTGCTGCGTTCCTGAACCAGCTAGCATTATGATATTCTTGTGCTATTTTTTGATGATGTGGTTTGTGTTCGGACTTTGAGGGGAGGATTTTTGGGTTCTGACTGGAGCGGAGACCCGGGGGCCGAGGCGGAGACTGGAAGTCCTGTAGAAGCTGGAGGAGGGCATAGTATCTTCTTTGCGCGTATGAAGATAAGAGCGGCAAACGAGCCATACGAATCCGATACACGAGTTTGATCCGCAAACACAGCACATGAATACCAGGCGCGAGCAAGACACAGACAATTCAAGACGAGGGCACGAGACTACCACACACAAGCACCTGTCACGAATACACCACAAACTACAAGACACGGCCCCTAAACAATCCATAGCACAACACTACAACGAGCAATACAACGAGCAACCCAAACAACCGAAGCCACCCCACCTGCACGCTTGAATGCAATACGCCATAACAAACATCTGAGCTTCCTCAGAGTACTCTACATACTTGGACCCTCTACGAAATCTCCACACACAATCAAGCACGCCGACCGAGTTTCCACAACCATAGCCTTTGGAAGAATATTAGACCCTTGAAAGGATACTTGCATACCACCTCCTATCAAACGCGCGCGCCTCGTCAAAGACCACCCCCTCAAGTCATGAACTCGACAACGAACACCGCCGATTCAGAACCATACATGTCTCGATCCTCGCGGTTCGACAAAGTTTACGTATCTTCGGTTACAGCGACCCCACGACCTATCCCCGCAGATATCCAAGGATAATAGGAGGTAGCAAAGGTGAATTAGTTGTTTTCTAGGAAGCTCAGTGCAACGTGAGGTTATATCCTCCTCCTCTGGTGGTCTGTGCACCTCAGTGGCCTGGTGGCCTAGAAGGAATCCACGCTCACTGGGCCACGGAGCTCAGAGGAATTAACTCATCAAATATATTGAATTTGAACTCAACCAGGTAGCTGATGCCTTGTCCCGGACTATCTTCCCCGGAGACGATCGCCACGAACAAGACTTTTCGGATTTTGGCAGTATCGCCGAGGCTACCCAGGATAAAGTCTGAGTCTGGAAGGATAGGAAGTACGGTTACGAAAAGCTCCTGGAAGAAGTGGCCAATCCGCTGAAGGAAAAGGAAATGGAGAAGATGCAGACCGTGAAGAGGATGCTGGACCCAGTGGTGATATCCCAACTCGCGGGAGTCAGCAACAAAGACATCAATTTCATCTCTGCGCTCTGCCTGCTCGGAGCGGTGCAATACAAAGCAGGTCTGGAGCCCATGTCCAGGCCCGCTAGAATCCCAGTCTACAACACCAGCGCGAAGACAGCCTCCATGCAGGAGGACAGAACTAAGGCCTACGAAGAAATGCCCGTGGTACTGAGACGTACTCAGGCTCTTGACCCAGCCGAAAGTCCCAGAAAATGCAGACAGGATCAGGAGAAGAGAGGGCACTGGAAAACAAGGCATCCAAATCCCAAAAGGCGGAACGCGGCGCGCCTTCCATTTCCGGACGCACCTTCCTGTCTGTGGTGGCCTTAGGCCACTAGGCTACTATAGGTGGCACAGACCACCAAGAGAGGTATATAGCAGCCTCACGCTTGCTCTGAGCTTCCAACAAGAACAACCACCTTGCTCACACCATTACTATTTCCTTATATTGTCTCTGTCCAATCGCCCGCGCAGAGGATCGAAATGAATTCTCAGGGGCCAACTCAATCCAATCGGACTCGGACAGGTGTATACTCAGGTCTATCTCTCTAGACTTTGTCAGAGGAGAGTAGCACACGACCTCACGACCAAGTCAGATCGTTGGTCCTCGGCATTAATCCATAATGCCCTCTTGCATCCCCTCCTTGCCTATAGAGGGCGTATGAGATTCTCGTGCTATTACAGAACGCCTTGGAGAGAAAGGAGGTGATCGAGACAGGGTTTGGCTTTACTAACAAGGAGAGGTTTGTGGTCGGATGGACGATAGATGTTTAGAGTAAGAAGCATAAGATCGAAGGGGTTTCTTGGGATTGTTAGGCGGTGGTCTTAGAAATATACTAGTGGTATTCCCGCTTGATTATAGAGATGGGAGATCAAACAATTCAAGATTTTTTAAAAACAAAACCCCATCGTACTCATATCTTTCCTTACGATCTTTAGCGCAAACCTCATCCTGCCCCTAAAGGAGATTTAAAGGTACACGAGATGGAATCGATGGATTCAAATTAGGCATCTTTTCATTCCGCAGATGAATCACTATCAAATAAGGAATCAAAGGCATTTGAAGCCGCGGACACGAATTTCATTGACATCAAAATCACATCGGGGACGATTTTTGCATGGCTGTGAAAACGAAGTATTTTTGCGAGTCTCTCAAGACTCAGGCACTATCATATCGTGCACCACCTTCACTGAGGGGCATTGCCCTGTAGGCCCAGAAATTCTCACAGTACGAGATATGGTATAGTCTCGTTTCTCCACCCGCCACTCTCCCTGCCCATCCTCCCCGTTTCCTCGAAAGAGAAAGCCAATCTCAACATCCGTGCAGTTTTCCGAGCTGCCCATTCCATTCCATCCCATTCCCTGAACCCGTGTTCCTGACCCTCCGCGCTCCGTCACTCGCAAGTCTTCCACCCAGAGTTACTCCACCGCGAGTCCAAGATTCGACCGGGTGCTGGCAGTCAAGGGCTTTTTCCAGGCGGGTTTCTCTACTACTTAGGGTCTCAAGCATTGACGTATCAACGCGAGACGCCTGACGTTCGAGAAACCAGGTGCTGCCATAGTTAAGCCCGTGACTGTAGCGTCTCCCAACAACAGAGACCTCCGTGTGCCGTAATCGTAGTGGTAATGCTGCCGTCTTGCATGTCTGGTGAGAGGGAAGGCATTTCCGAGGTGGCTAGGGATATGTGTGATCCGTAGCGTCCTCAAAGAAACCCAGGGATGCCTTGAGAGTCCGAGGTCTTCGCGATGAGTGGCTGGGTTGCCAGTCCAGTACTCGAATCGCGAATTCCTCAAAGACTCGCAAGGCATCTCCAGACATGGTGTGTGTGGCGACGCAATCCGGATGGTGTGTGGTGTTTGTCGGAGGCAGGGAGGAAGAAGTCTGTCGAGGCCTTGACCTAGTCACCGCGGCTCCGAAGTCCGAGGGATCTGCAACGAGCTGCTGGTTTGCCATTCCAGTGCTCAAATCGCAGTTCCCCGAATACTGTCACGGCGGTGAGAGTCGAGCTATCCAGCGGGTATGCGACTATGTACGGAGAAGAAGTTGGCCCGGGGCTCGAACCCAGTACCGCCTTCTTCTCCGCACATAATCGCACACAGTAAAATCCTCAAAAATTCGCTGGGCGCTGGGCGATTCCAAGCTTGAGGCGGTCGAGAGGAGGAGAGGCGAGACATCCAGGTAGTATGCGCCTATGTATGGAGAAGGAATTGGCCCGGGGCTCGAACCCAGTACCGCCTCCTTCTCCATACATATCGCATATAGTACAACCTCGGAAGTTCGCGAGGTAATTCCGAGCACGCAGGCGGGAGACGAGACATCCGAGTAGTATGCGACTATGTACGAGATGAAGTTGGCCCGGGGCTCGAACCCACCACCGACGACCCCTCGTACATAATCGCATACAATTTATTCCTCCACAACTCGCAGGGCGTTCCGAACAGGAGGCGGGGAAGACATCCGGGTGGTATGCGATTATATAAGGAGGAGAAGTTGGCCCGGGGCTCGAACCCAATACCGCCTTCTTCTCCATACAACATCGCATCCAAAATTGTCTTTCCGGATTCGCAAGGAAGAGAGGAGGCGATGAAGATATCCGCGCGGGATACGATCATGTACAAAAGGAAGCCGACCTGGGGCTCGAACCCAAAACCGACTACCCTCCGTACATAATCGCACCCAGTGATGTAGCCAGCCGGACTGGTCTACACGTAGCTGCGGCGGATGAGTTCACGAATCGCGTCGGTCTCTGCAGCCATCCGCTTCCCTTCTAGAGTGCGGTGGAAAGCGAATGGCTCCAGAGACTTCAGGCGTTCTGCCTCTTCTTCCTGCTGGCGCTTGAGCTCCTTGGCCTCAGCCCTCGATGCTTCGTGTCTGGCAGATGCATCGCGAAATGCGATGACACCCAAGCACAGCCCAACCAGCACCAAGCCCACGAACGTCAAGAGCGGGACGTTACCTCGGATGTTACCCGACAGCAGAGAGGCGACGAAGTCATCGTCGCCCAACTGCGCCAGGTACTCCTCGGTGAGGGGGGGCTGGGGGTCCGCATCAATTCCATCCATGGCTTGAAGAATTTGGATGATTGAGCTTGCGACCAGGAGTACTCCGACCCAGAGGAGATTGTCTCGGTTGAAGACGGCGGAGGTGACCCTGCAACACCAAGGACCGATTCCGGCACCAACAATGCGCAAGCAGGTTGTCAAGCTGCGAGCGAGCTGGGACGGAGATCGATCCTCGGAAGCTGAGGGTCGAGATGGCCATGGCAGAGACACCGACAGTGCTGGAATGTCGATGGCTGGGAACGAACCAGGAAGGAGCAACTCTTCGCAATCGAAGAATTCCTCGCATTCCTCGTCCGCCACAGCACTGGCGGTCTCATCTGCGTCGCTTGCGCCGGTGCTCTCTTGAAGGCTGCTGAGAGCCCGGTCCGCAGCTTCATCTCCCTCCGCCGCCTTGTCCTCTGGGATCGGACCAGCTTTCTGGAGCTCGGCAACTTCGCGACGAAGTTGCAGGATTGCCTCAGCAGACCGCGGAATGTAGTCTCTCACGTCAGGAAGGACGGCTCGATCCGTCCAGCCCTCGGTGAGGCCTGTATCCGCGGCCGCCTTGCGCAGCTTTCTCTCCGTGACCGATCTGTAGATCTCGGAGATCTCCTGCCTCCGCACCAGGTCGTCCCGCTCCTTCTGCGCCTCCCGCTCCAATTCCACTGCGCAGGCCTGGTCTTGGCGGCTCTCCGAGAGAGCGGCGACCTTATTGTTGGCCTTGCGCAGCTCCTGGGCCAGCTCCTCGTTCCGTCGCCGGAGGTCAGAGATCTGGCTCTCCAGGTTGGAGGCCCCTGCGACCACTTGGGTCAACTCCTCCACCCGGCCCCGGAGCTCTCCGATCCGGGCGTTTTGGCCGGAAGCTTCGGTCTGCAGCGACCGGAAAACCGCGGTTGCTTCGGCTGTAACAGAAGCTAAGCTTCTCTCAGCTAGCTCTTTCTGGTCAACAACCCGGTTGTACTCTTCCCGTGCTGCAGACTCTGCTTCCGACCAAGACGCACGCATCTGTGCCTTGGCTCTCAAGTGCATCCTCTTCAGGTCCCTTCTAGCCGCCGCTAGACGAGGAACGTCGAGGATGGCACTGGGCCGCGGCAGCCCCCGTGCGACCTTCAGCGCCAAAGTCTTGGTCTGCCTCTTGGTCGCACGGCCTTTCCTGCTCCGTGTGGCTAGCTCCGAACTTGGTCCCGGGCCAATCATGGTACCTATTTTGTTTGTTAGATATCAAATTGATATTGAAAGTATAGGTAGAGAAAATTACCTTGATTGCCGGCATTGACCAGCTCATCGTTCGGAGTCACGGACGTCTTCGGCTGTGCGGCCGCCGAGGGCACGGCAGAAGGCTTTGTAGCGCCTTCTGGCTTCGTGGGTCGGCTCCCGTCGTGGCCAGCGTGGCTCACCATCAACGAGATGGCAGCGTCGTTAACGACCTTTGGCAGGTTTGGACTCGCGTATGCGAAGTCCCTCAGGATGAAGCCCAGCTCGAATTGCTCCCTAGTGGCTGGTTAGTAATTTCGCCAGTTATATTTTTTTAAAGGTGAGAAACTAACTTTGCCGTTGGGTGTACCACGTCAATAAGCCACAGAGTCCAAAAGAACTGCTTCAGAGCATCCCACTCGCTATCCTTCACCTTCCCCAAAACTACCGGATTCCCTCCCAGCAGCTTCGTGCCGAGAGGTGCCACGATGTTTGCCAGCCTGACCAGTGTCTCGTTCGAGACATCCAGAGGTTCCACTCCGCAGATTCTCTCGCCGACGTATGCTCGCAAGGGTTCTGTCAGGGCACGTGCATCCGGACCAACTACTTCCTCGCGGAGAGTAGAGGTCATATTGTTCGAAGCGGTGCTGGGGGTATCCGGCTTCTCCGGTCCTACTTGAGGAGTAGCTGCGACAGCCTTGGTTCGTGTCTTGAGAATCTTCCTCGCGGCAGGGTTGCTGAAGTGCTTGTACAACAAGAACCGGGTGGCCCAGGCTGCCTCGGGCATTAAATCTTCGAGACCTGCAATCTTCTCCAAAAGATTCCGCAGGCCGTCACCAGCTCTGCTGCCAGGTTAGAGGTGTTGCAACTTCGGTGGGAAAGATCTAAGCTTACCTCAGCTCATCATCGATCTCGTCCTTCTCCATGTGCACAAGAATCCAAAGAAAGGCGCGGAAGGCAGTATCATACTCCGTAGGGATCCTGAGAATTTCGGCGAAGTTCCTTCTCTCGTAGCAGTCCACGAATGTGACTGTCTTCGGAATGTACTCGGTCACATCCTCAAGCTCGTTGAGCGAGAGAGAAGTGATGGTATCTCCCACATACTCCTTGAACAAGTCCATAGTTATCTTGGTAGTTTGGGCGCTGACAGACATTTTGGCTGTGATGTTGATTTTATTGACTCGGGGTGGTATGCTTACAAAGTATTGTTGATGAATCAAAAGATTGAGTGAAGTTGTGAAGTTTGGGGTTGAGTCTTTGGAGTTGTGTTTGGTGTCAGAGAAGTAGGTTGGTTGCCATGGGAGAGGATTGAAATAGGGTGGAAGAAGGCAAGGCTGTCACGGGACTTTTCCTCGCTTAGCGGAAAACTAGCGTGGCAGGAGCGTTAGCACCAATGAGAATGCTGCCATTGTCCCTCCGCGGGCAGGAATTCACCTTTGAGTAGTAGACAGAGAAAATTTAAAGGTGAGAGGAAGAGCGCCTCCACTCGCTTAAGTTTACTGAATTGCCAGTGCCACTGTGCGGGCAGATCTTGTTTTGGAGGAGGTTCTCAGCGGACTTGAGCAGAATCATTCTATAACGCGACACAATATGTACAGGAAGAATATCCAAGATATAGGAATTGATTGTAGACTGATTTCGTATTGAAATTCGACTGATCCAAATGTGAATCTACTTGATAGACAGCGGAAGGAGGCAAAACATCCTACCTTGCCTGTATATACCTTCTCTCTCTTCACAAAGTCCAACGGGCTTGCCCTATACGCCCATGGAATAGAAATTCTTCAAGTATAAACTTGTTTGATCTCAAATTGCAGCCTCAAGCTTCCTATAATTTGAAAGAAAATTTACCAACTAGACTTGGCATATAAGGCTAGAAGTCTTGAGAATTCAACGACGCAGCTAATTCATATTTTGAGCTTTCTCCGATATATACATGAAGAAGAAGAAGAATATCTATTTGTATTTTGTTCGAGAAGAATAGGGTTGGCCTCTGACTCTGCAGGCACAGCACAGCTCCAAGTCTCGATAAAGATGAACACTATGATAAACTATCTGTTACAGCCAAGTTTCCAACTCCAAATAGGCCCTAGGACAATCATAATGTTTACGTGGAAGACTTCGCCGTCAGAGATTTGGCCAAACAGGCCACAGCTAAACAGCTAGGTGTCTGATTCGAATAGGATGTGCTTCTCGAAGAGTAACCTGATCACTCTTCTGGATGTTTAGAAGTCTTGCGCAATAGTTCGGACATTGCAGGACTGTACCTTGACCTTTGGTGAAATGATCTTGGGGGTCTTCCTCACTCTTGGGACATGGGATCTGGCAGCGGCTTTGACCGGGCAGAACCAGCCACGTTTGTTGGATGTGACGCCAGCAAATATTCCTAGACGATGAGACGGGTGCTTAAATATTCTAGATTATCTATCTACATTGTACTTCATCACCTAGAGAGAACATAGTAGAGAAGAGGAGCTCCAGCCTTTCTGTGCGAAGGGCAGTTGCCAAGCCCCAAATAATCTTCCAGTATGCCGGGCGTAGTCTTCAACTCAGGAGCCGATACAGGGCCCGGAATGGTATCGGAGGCCTAGCATGGTCAGATCGGAAGGGAAACATAGCATGTTTCTCGACTTACAGTCATGTGGTTGATAAGGGTACTCAACAACATATTGTTGCGGTCCATGGCAGCCAGAATCTGGCGTAGCAGATCCAGCGAAGCTGGATCGGCGGCTGCTGCGTCGGCAGGGAGGCGCAAGATAGGAGCAAAACCAAGCCGGCCAAGCCATGCATACCATATTTACTTGCCCAAGGGCAATAGACCAGCTTCGAGAATACTAAGAGAGCTTTCCCCTTCCCTGAAACTTGTAGGTTGAGGCCTCCGTGCTCCCATGCTAGCACGATTAGATTTGTTGATTCCTCGTCCCAGCCACTCTTTGTTTGTCTTTCCTAGTCATCTCGTCGTAGCTTTGAAGTACGAATCCGCCGTATGCTGCATTCATAAGAGCGGTCCCTCGCAGCGTTCATCGCCTTCTTGCAGATCCTGGGTCCTCTGGCATCGCATTTTGCGCCGTTTTCGTCAGCGGCGTCGTCGTCACTCTCGTCGTCGTTCGAAGTATGCTATCGCAGACAAGGTATATCTCTTCGATCTTTCGACTCCGTCTATTGTGGGGAGACAGAACGAACCTTTCGGCGAAGAGAGTTGTGATCTTCTTCTTCTTGAAATAAGCCGGGTCCTGGTTTCAGAGAATATTATCATTCGATTCCGCGAACCTGAGAGATGAGCTCGAGGAGTCTAGTTCTCGTGATTGTCGGCCGGGATGTGAAAGAGGCGGTTGGTGATGTCGGTATGCCAGGCGCAAGGCGCGTTTGAGGAGCGCAATGGCAGCTCCCTCCTCCGAATGGGGCCTCGGCGCAAGTCTCTTGCCACTTAGAAGGGAAAGTAGCGGGGGATTTAATGCCTTGAAGCAGCCTGAAAAGATCCTTTTGAGAATTGGGCATGGTATTTTCTTCAACCGAAAGGTTCGTTCTGTTCCTCACATCTATTCATACCAGCTGTTCTTTCTGAAGCTGGGCATATAAGTCGATGATTTTGGTTGTACCTCCAATCTAGGAGTGTATAGAGAGTCATCTGGCTTAACCAATACCCGTCTCCCAGTTGATTTCTACCTTTCTCAATTTCTCCAAGTCCACGGAATCGTCCGCCTCTAAATCCTTGCCTTTTTCGCAGGACTTGTGTAAATCATTATTTCCAATTCCTACACTAGCACTCATTCCTTCTTGAACTCAATAAACAGCTTCTTCTCGTGGTATCGGAGGTAGCTTCGTCCATTGCAAAAGGTGGCCGTGATTTTTTGGATGCATACGAGGCACGGGGTGTCATTCCGCGCCTTGATTACTAGCAGAGCGCGCATCGGATTAGGGCTTTCCCTGACTTTTCTTCGTATCGTACTTTTGCGATCGCAAGCCCTGAATCATCTAAACACGCGCATACCTTGATCAGAATCCTGCCGATCTAAACTCATACCGCGGGAGGTGGGATGGGATCAAGAACGACTTACAACTCTTCCTCTAGAAGCCCTTTCTGCTTCGCTCGAGATCACAGGCCGTAGAGGGATAGCAAGCACCCTTAGCTTCCTTCCCACTCACGGTTCCGCAGCCCAACTCAACGCATACGGATGATAACCTGGACACTTCCGGACGAGAAGATGCATGAAGGTACCGGCGAACCCAGAATCACCACAATCTTCTTCCCCGTCCGACTCATCGATGTCGCCATCTGCATAATGCTTAACGACTTCCTCCTCGCTCTCGGCATCGGAGCCATCTTCTTCTTCATTCTCGATATCAAAAACGTCTTTTTCATCATCCTCGATATCAGAAATCAAATCGATGACATCGTCCGGCTCTTCAGAACGGCAACGAGCACCATGGATAGCCGCGCCACTTGCACGATCCACACGGAGATACAGCTCTCGAAAGGCCGAGAGTGCCCGGTACGGGGAACATTCTATCGACTACTGATGTTATCAGCCAACGCAATCATTCGTACGATAGGAGGGCGCCCGGCTAGACCGCTAAGCGGTCCAGAGATCCCTATTCCAACATACCTGGGTACCATCCTGAGTCTTTCCTTAAGGGTTGAAGGAGTCCCCGGTTGGATCGTTCGCTGGCTTCGGATGCCACCCTCTGTTTGTCTGTCTGGTATTTGACTGGAACACGTTAGATAGGTGTAACATGAGTTTGTCAGGGGACCGACCCATCCCTCGCTCTCGAAGCTTGGATGATGCCATGCCTGGGTGATAGCCTTCTTAGTGGTTGTTCTCTACCGTAATGCTGTGGTAAGTAGTAATCCAAGTCCGGCTCTTTTCATCAGAAGATCAATAGGTAGTTGGATTCCAAAAGGTCTAGAAGAATCCCTGGAGCTCTTCTGGAAAGGCTGGCAGGTTTCTTGATTGGATGAAGGTATCGCAGCGATAGCGATCTACCAGGATTTTCATTTGGAGCGGTATTTGTTGTTGTTTTTTTTTTATTCTCCTTTCCTTTTTTTTTTTTTTTTTTT